TCTCTCTCTCTCTCTCTCTCTCTCTCTCTCTCTCTCTCTCTCTCTCTCTCTCTTGCTTTCTCCTTCTCTTCCTATGATAACATAGACGATGTAAGCGAGTTTCGGTCAACGTTCAAGGAACTCGAGGAGCACTATCCACTACTCTGCCGACATAACTACTCGTGTGTGCTATACACGTGGAAACTCATGTGTGACCAACGGATAAGTTCTTAACGACCCTTCACCCCGATACAGCCGCCTCTGTCGCGCTAGTTGCATGCGCAGTGAACTGATGCCACGCTGTGCAACAGTTCGTGGATTCTTAGCGAATGAACCTCGCATTCGGCATAAAGATTGAAACTAGTAGAGGAGGAAATGCGGTATCCCATTAGCTTAAGCAATTTTTCGAAAATCCGTGGATACCACCAACTTTTTGTACTTCCACGTATAAAGATCCTGGTTAGCTAATTAAAAATGAAATATTTGATCAAAAAAGCAATTTAGCGGTGCTTCGAATAGTCGGAGAATTTGTTAAAAATGATTAGGAAGGTGTAAATAAATATTTTTTATGTATTGCTGTTTTAATGTTAATTTCAGAAAATGTAATTAATAAATTTGATTAAAAATTATAAGTCAAATAGCAATAATTCGAATAAATTTAAGAATCGCGTGCAGGCGATATCCGAATCTGAATTCGGCAAAATTATATCGATTTTAGCTAATGATTTATTTAACTATCATTGCATCAAGTTACTTCAAATTATAGATGCATGATGATGGATGCTAAGCTTAATTCATTACTAGTCTATTTTTCTTTTGAATTAATAGAGCAATTTGTTATCAAATGGGACGGAAAAACTGCATATTCACGGTACGCTGTAATGAATAATTAGTTGCGTCTGGTTTTGATAGCTAGATAAAGTGATTTGAGGATTGAAGCCGAGAAGACGTAAAAATTGATAACCGTCTTTTGTTGAGTTTATAATGATTTGTGAAAGTTTTCTCGTTTTCTCACTTGCTGCGTTTGATGAGTTTATTAAGAACATTTTATTTATTTGGGGTTTTTCTTAGGACTTCAAATATCTAAGTTTAAGTAGACAAAGTTTAACTTGCTACATTTGTGGTGAATTTAAACATGATATTCGAAGTCGCACAGCACATGTGCTAGCCGTTCGCTCGTAACAAATTTTTCAATATTTAAAAGAAAATTATGGTATTAAAAAATAATATTACGTTACACAATTTCTACAATTTCTACTGTGCAGCGTAAAACTGTCAGAAAATATAATTCCCGTGATAACACGCGAACATAACGAGTATTAATTGGAACAACGGAAAAGAGGCAACAATTAAAAAAAATTCCCGAATTCGATAATTTGTTCATGTCAATTTTCTATAAAAACGGTTCTAGCAGACAACAGTGTTATCTCGCGGCTTATTCGATATTCCAAGCTTGTTCCCGACAGTTTTTCTAACAGAATGAACGGCTGTTCCGTTACAGAACTCAACTCGACATCGCCATCGACGAGCGAGCTCGACGACCTCGTTGACGAGGCCGAGAGCGACGAGGCAAATGCGGACAACGCGGATGACGAGGATGCGGTCGAAGACATCCTTTATATGCGCGGTGCCACCTTCACGATACATCTGGACGCCCCAGCCGAGAATTCCACCGTGAACGCGACGAAGATAAACGAGGCGAACGGCGCGGATCGGATCGAGCTGCGCGCCACGTCTCAGGTAACATTATTCGCCATATTTCCCGGGTTAGCTTGTCGTATTGTCCCGTAAGTGTTTGCATGTTGTTCTACGACCATTTGTTATGTAGAATTCCAGAACGGTATTCGGTGAAAAAAATCCAAGGTCTTTGATCTATTATAAAATATAAGACGATGTCAGGGCGGCTACTTATTAAGTACTTACTAAGTAAGGTACGATATGTTAACGTAAACGTGGTAATAGAGGATTATTAAGTTTCAGTAATTCTATTAGCCTTGTGTACAATATATATTTTTTAATTATTACACGCCGACTCATTACATTATCAACTCTCTAAAAGTCAATCAGTGAATTATCACTTGTGTAGTGAGCATTCGCTGATTCGCTGAATTATTCAGTGCTTGTAACTGTTTTCAGTGATAATGCACTGATTAACTTTTAGAGAGAAACTGTCTTGAAACAAAAGAAGAGATAAAATAAAATTTAAACGCGACTACTACGGAAATAGCAATTTTCAATGGCAGTGCATTGATTGACTTTTAGAGAGAATCTGTCTTGACACGAAAGAAGAGATAAAATAAAATTGAAACGCAACTGCTGGTGGTAGCAAATATACTCTTCATATATGCTATATGCGTTTTACGATTTGACTAATTGACACGTAAATATCGAATTCGAACTTACGTCCTATCGATTTAGAGCAAATATTCAATATGTAGGAATAATCAATATCGCAATAGTTCACACTAACGGCAAAGATTTAATTGATTGATGTATATCCACGTGCCGTCACCGTTCGAGCTAAATGGAGAGAATCGATCGGGCATTGTCTTTGGGTTAAGCACTCCAGAATAGAACATTCCGTAAAGGGACATAAATGGGTATGCGTGTCTATGTGCGAGGTATAGAAATAGCGTTTACGTGAAATCGAGCGCAAATCGGAATGTTCTGAACTGAGGAATCTTCCTTTGAGTTAGAATTAATATTCCCGATACACCTAAAGGACATAAAGTTTTCTCTGACGAGATTAAGGACTCCATCCGACCGATTGTTGATGCTCAAAGGATCCGACATAAAACTTTGTACCTTTCGCGTTGTGCAATGATATTTCACTTTTTAAGTATTGAAAAGTTTCTATTACCAGCCGAATTAAATTAGAGGCGAAATGGAGACGCGTATCAATATAAGATAATATTATAATTTAACCAAAATGTAAAATGTACATCAACCGATAGAAATTAACCGGAATTATTGCAAATGAATATTAACATTGTGAATGATTACATGGGACATCATTAAAATTTAATAAAATTGAATTAACACGGAAATTTTGATGACATTAAATTAACACGCTGTTTGATAAAACCGATATAATGTGAATCCGGCCTTTCCTCGGTTGGTTTTCCTTTCCGAATGGGTAAACAAATTTAATATTTCGCAAGCCTCGGCATTAAGCACGAGATTCGCAGCTTCTAGGCCAATCTTTATTCAAAAGCCTTCTCAAATAAAAAACATGAGTCGTGCAACAGGTACTTCACATCCGCTGCAGCTTTCTTAACATGCAGCAGGCTGCCCCATTATTTCTGAAAATTTCTTGGCCCCGAATCGACAACAGCGAGCAGCGGGATCAATAAGTGATGAGGCCGATGTCAGAAAGCGGGTTAACCCATAAATAATATTCTCTTCTCTTTGGGGTTGCTTACTAAACTCATGTACTTTCCTCACTTTGTTATGCTCGAAACTATGCGAAAAACACCCTTTCGCAGAACTTTCTTTAACTTACTTTTTATTTAAATACATCAATCTTCTTTAAAATTATTCTTATTTAAAGTATAAGTTGACGTGGCCCCTGCTTCACAAATTATGCTGTTTTTCTTTTCAGTTTTTGCAGTTTTCTAATTTAATAACATTTTTTAACACATCATCTAGTCTTTAATCATTTTTCTTCTCTTTAAGATAGATCTTTGCCTTTACTTCCCTTCAACTTTTAATTAAATTATCCCTCATAAATTCGCAGGTGTATATGTGTGTGTGTGTGTGTGTAATGTATATTATAGATGAATATGAGTATCCGCAGTGTATTGAGCTCGGGTTCGTGGGTTTGCTAAGCCCAAATGACTGCGCGGATCAGTCATCCCTATGGGAAAATTACGGCTTGTTGATGCGGATAGGTTAATTATGATAAATGTGGTACTTGACACTGTACTAAATGTGTATTGTGAATATTTTTGAATGATATAGTTGAGAAGCGTAATTTAATGATGTGTGTTTAAACAGAGCAGTAAAAAATAAATAGTTAAAAATTCACAAACATTTTGACCAATTCTAAACGCATCTAACGTATGAAACGGGCATGTGGAAAATTGATTCCCTCTCTTTTATAGTTTCTCTTCAATGTTAAATCCTAATTTTTATACTGCGGACTGATAGCAATCCAATATGAAACCGGTGATGACATTTCTTGTGGATATTCAGGGCCCAAATCTGGAGCAAAAACTGCCATCCACAATGGAGAGTATCGTGAGCACTGAGCCAGCGTGTTCCCTGGACTGCGGACCGGCTGGAAATTGTTATATCGAGCAATCTCGCGGAGATGAAGTCGATGTGGTGATCGAAGACGACGACGGAGCCGTGGATCTCGAGGGCAATACCGTGAACTTCAGACGAAAGCAAGGAACGTTCAGACAAAGATGCCAGTGTCCTCTCGGAAGAGGCGGCGATCGTTGTCAGCTCGGTGAGTGATATTCTTTGCCTTATCTCTCAATTTTCTTTTTTATCTATTCCATGAATAATATATACAAGGATTTTCGCCTTAGCTAAATACTAAATTTGCCTTCGCAATGCTCTGACGTGTAGAAAAGAAAGTTGTCGACGCTGATTTTGTTTTATACAATTTTTTTGCTTCGAAACTCCCTTAAAATCGATATTTCCACGAAAGAGCGGAAAGTAACGCTATCAAATGTCGCGCGCAATCTTTTATCCATTGTCCTTGGACGGCGATAAAAAGAAGTACATTCGGAAACGCGAAATTAAGTTCGATAAACAATCGAGAGACGTCGATGAGCGATTCTCCTCGCGAAAGTAAACTCGAGTTCGAGAGGCGGTGAGGGTCGAAGAATTGAAAACTTACTCATCATCGGTCGCCTCCTCGCTTTGTTCCGCTCCGTACAAAACTTAAGGCATCCAAGTCGAAAGAGTACTGTTTTCGCCTCGAGGTCCCGGGAGTTCCGTGCGTTCGAGGCGATCAGATCTGTTTGCACCTGGTTGCTTTACGGAAACTCCCAGGAAACTCGATGTGCGGGACGCTCTCGGTAATCTCAAACTTTTAACCCTTTGAGATGCCCGCTGCGGTGCCAGCGCGCGCGCGCGCGCACGACTGTCCGGCGAATAACGTTAAACGCTCTCGAGGATCTTTGGAGACCCGTCGCCACGTCACGGAAATGTAAATTGCCGATGGCGTACACACGAGTAGAAGTTCACCTCATCATACCATCGGCCATCTTGAATCATGGCAGCAAGAGGATGATGGAGATTACGCGAACGTTCCTGCCAATTTAAGTTCATAAATGATTTTCTGTTAACGAACCTCGTTCATTACCGTTGAAATGTGATACAAACTCAGCTATTATCGGTTTAACATTGTATCATACTGGAACGAAGAATAAATGCAGCTACCAAAGTAGTTCACGGCAAGAGAAATACTGCAGTCGAATCGAAACAAAGTTGCTGACTCAAAAATCTGTCTCGAGTTTTCGCGAGCACAAGATGCAGGAATTGTTCACGTTTCTCCCTTGCCTTCCGTTATCGCAATTCGACGTAGCTATTATAAACATATTATAAGCCTTTGAGAGAACGCTTTAGGTAACGATAGTCCTCGAATCAATACTAGCGGCTTCCAATACTTTGCGATCTCCAAACGGACCAAATACAGATGTTTATTTAAAAAAAGGTCGATATCTATTTCAGCATTATATCAATACCGAACCAATAACCGGACTTACCGGATTCGCCAATATTGACATTTTATGGATAACAAAGCTTAAACGAGGCAATACGTAGTTTCAAGATCTGGGATATCAATTTTCGAAGTTCCGTGCGTTTAACCGCCATGCGAGATGATAAAGATTATCTTCGTAACCGAATAACGAATGAAACATATCTTCTTTGTCTTATCGACTACACGTATCGGTTTACGCTTCAACCTCCGGCTATGAAACGTTCGAAATGTACGGATTAAGGTACTCGATATTCGGTTTAATCTTGCAGAGTGGTTTATATTGCATCATGGGATTGCATGGGATTAAGCGGCAGAAAAATTGCGAGAAGAGATCGATGGTCCGTAGTTTGAAGTATGTTTTACGCCTCAATATTTGAGTGTTTTATCGCGCAGTTTCCGTATATGACGCGGATCGATGCAAGAATTATGATATGGCAAACATTCATCTAGTTCCCACGACAAGCCGCGTATATGCGCAATCGTTTACCTGAAACGATTAAACTGAAACCATATCTCACGGCAACCTGATTTTTAATTAACCACCACATTAAGTTTGTCAAGATTGATTTTTTTTCAGGCCACGGCCGCCGCGATAATTAAAAAGAGAAGACGTGACGCAAAATATATATTTGAATTTTTCGCGGGTTTTACGGTGAAATTATTTTGAAATGTGTTATGCATACAAAATATAGTTATTATACGACGCATTATTAAAAGAAATAAGCTACAAGGCAGATAAATGTATGCATGGGCAATACATTATATATACGCTTTTATTTACCGAAGTAGATGTATCAAAATGCATCAAAAGTGAGTGAAGATATCGTCATTGTTTGCCTATATTTGAAATTGATCGTTACACGACTGAAGTTACATTAGAGAAAATTCTGTGAAAGCATACGAGTATGTGCGCGAACGGTAAAGAGTATGATTTGTATATTGTAATCCTGTACACGCTGTGTGGCTGCGTTATTGATGCTAGTCCCGAGAATGATGGTGCTTACGAGTACACAACAGAAAGCAAACGCTTTGTAGTAAAAGCAAAAGATTATTCATACGAAATGTCGGATATCCTTTCGCTTTATACGTTCGCTTCGTGCTTTCGCTTCTACCTTTGCTAAGAGCGTTTGTTCCGCTTTTATTTACACGAGTCAATAACGCTCCTGTGTAGCACAAGCGGAGTTACAAATTCAACCAGCATAGTGGAAATGAAATAATACGATAAAAATTATAATGGTTAAATTAATAATTAACGGGTTGTCTTGAATTTTTTAAACGGAAACCTCCATTTCTTATTATATCATCCTTTTCTATTAATTAATTGGAATTTTTATCTGAAACTTTTTTTATTTGTCTAATAATTTTTGAGATATTTAAAGAAAAGTTGGCAACTTTTTCAATATTCATCATACGATATCGCGATAATTATTTCTCGTGAGGAAAAATGATACAGGATTTTTTTACTTGATTTGGTGTCAAGAATATGCTGTTGTAATAGTACTTCAGTTTTTATAAACATTTGTGTATACATGAAAACTTCAAGGAGGTGTGCACAAGTGTTTACCAAAGTTGGAGTACTATTGCAACAGCATATTCTTGACACCAAATCAAGTTAAAAAGTTCTGTACCATTTTTCCTCACGATAAACAGTTATCGAGATATCGTATGATGATTATTGAAAAAGTTGCCAAGTTTTCTTTGAATATCTAAAAAATATTATTATATATTAGACAAATATACAAATGTTTCAGACAAATGTTGTTCCAATTAATTAATAGAAAAAGATGATATAATAACAAATGCAGGTTCTCATTTAAAAAATTCAGGATTACCATCATGTATAAACCTTCAAACGACTATACATATATGTCCTCCTTGGAGCCATATAACTTTTATCTCAAACGTTTGTTTCTATAATGCATAATTTTTTAAAAATTTACGGGTTTCCATACTTTATCCTCACCTTGTATATTTATAACAACTGTTATTTACAATAACTGATGCTAAACATTTCAAACTGCAGTCTACTGGCTAAATAAGTAAAATTGTTTTAATGAGAAGATAATTTGAGGGAATCTTTATAGAACAATTAGATGCGTATTATATGTACATGTATTTAATATGTGTACTGTTGTTTTTCTCTCGTTAACCGTTACGTACTAGGTAATTGTACGTTAGTTTTTCACAGGCGCGAAACTGATGCAACAAATCAAACGTCCACGACAGGCCTTTTGATTGCGAGCGATACTTTACAGCGTGCTCCGAATGCATCGCGTTACAAGAGGCTTGTTTTATATTGACCTAGTACAGGATTATTCGCCACCTTGTTATTCGGCGTGGCCAAATTAAGCCTCGCTGAGCGGCTTGGGGGTAAAACCACGAGGTGGGCGTTGCCTGCCAGTTAATTCCGCTTGCGAAGGTTTAAAGCAAACGCGACCTGCAAACCGAGTCGTCCTCGTTGATTCTCTGAGCAAGATCTAACGAGCTTAATTTATTTTATCAACGACGCCCACTGCACACCGCGCTCTCGGTTCCCGTTTATACATATAAATATTTATTCTTCCGAATGCGAATACGTCCGTTCTCGACAAGAAATCCAAGCTGCGAATATTTGCGCATTAAAAATATTGACCCACTGCCTGGGTCAGAAAGAAGGCGAGACGGTACAGTGCAGATAGGATGTAATTAGCATAACAAATACAAATAAATTTCAGATTGTTTGTTACGTACCTATAACATGCTTTTATATTAAGTTAGTGAATTAGAGCGAATAATTGGACTTTACATTAACTGTTATAGTGTCCAACTGAATTTCAATATTCACTTATAGTCATTCACGTAAAAAATATTCTATGAAGGTATATGTTCACAAGATACGTACTCTCGATATTCTAAATTGCCATAAATAGAGAAAAATGTAGCACAATTAAATTACACGTCTTTCTCTTAGCTTCGGACCAGGAGAAAACCACAGGTAAATTAAATGTCAAGCATAAGTAATAATAATAACGTCTGTAAATATATACATATATACTGCAACAAGTTACGTCAGGAATATTCGTTCGTTCGTTCGTTCGTAATAAATCACGCATTGCGGAATTAAGATCGGCGAAACAATGGTCCGGCAGAACGAATGTTTAATAGTGATAAATTTCACACGTTACTCAAAAATTAATGCCGGAGCGAGACGTAAAATGTATAAGGATAAACTGCAATTTCTTCTACTATTTAAACGCGAAAATGGTATCTCCGACGGCTTAGCGCGGAAACAAAAATTTACTAGCAGCTGCCGTCGAGACGTAACTTCAGGCTGCTACATTTTAATAGTGATACATTATCCGGACTTTTAATATTACAAAGTGCAGCTCGGTAATTCCGCATCATCCGTCCGCCATCGCGAGGTGTGAGAGACGGCGGCTTTGCTCTGATTTATGTCACGGTTGAAGCTGCGCACGCGGCGCGATGAGCGGAAGAATTATTTTTTCGCAGCTGCCGCCCTTCTCTCTTCCTCGTTACTGCCGGACATAAATCAAGGGAACTTCCGTGCCATTCCGGCCAAAACCGGAATCCACCTCCCGGACAATAGCGGACAGACCATCCTTTTTTTTTTATAATATTTAGAGTGGCGATGGAGTATGCCGAGAGAATGCAATTGCGTTAATTATTTCACGCCGTGTCACGCGGGGAAAGAGAATCTCGCTACCGCAGCGAAACTACATTGTGGCTGTGCCAGCAGG